GTTGAGCTAAAACCCACACAGATGTGTGTGTTGGGCCGAGCTAAACCAAAAAGCATGGAACATGGTGCTAAACTAGGTCTAATTGGGCCAACACGGAGCATAATGTTCGATTGAGCTATCTGAGGTCGCACAACTATATACGTCATGACTGGTTTTGCTAACGTAACGAGCTAACGATAGATAGGCCGGACGAGGAGAGCAAACAAACCGAATTAAGGCCGGGGTATATAGCTGAGTTGATAATGGTCTCACACGTTAGCGATTATGAAGGTGTTGACTAAACGCGGCACCGATTTGACGTATACCTTAGCTCGATGTCCGTATGTCCAAAATCAATATATTTGGAGCAACCCAAGTAATAGCGCAGTTGGGTATTCCAGGTGGACCAATGGAGAGGAAATCGCTTTGAGTATGCATCAATACTGTTTGGCAGTTTGGCCAATACTGTTTGGCCCATGCTGTTTGGCAGTATTCACGTGTAAGAAATTGACAGGGTGATATAGCCACTCGTCCAGCAAAGGACAATAGAGGTAGTGTGCACACAAGTTGGGGCTGTGAACGCCCTAAAAAATAAGCCCATCATAACATATATTCACGATAAATAGAAGAGATTTCATATTACAATCATCAGAGTATTCTTACCAAAGGTATTACATGTTGACAACAAAAGTAAATGCCCTGTAGGCTTACAACTTTCCAAGTCAACACTTGGTTACAAAAAGGAGAGTACTAACTCTACACAAATAAGTCCTCGGTTTGATTTACGTGTAATACAACAAAAACAACAAAAAGGAGTCTGGCAGCCTCAAGCCTCTCAAGCTACGTCCTTGGAAGTGGCATAACACCTGTACCTGAAAATGATGTCCTATATAGGGTGAGCCAACGCCCAGTAGAGATATGCTAAACATAATATGAGCAATAATTAAAACATTAGCACTTGATAAACGTTTAACTCATGTAAACCAACATACAATACAATCCAGTTCCATAATCTTTCACTTAACAAAAACTCAACTTAGAAACACGGCTCAGAACCTGGCCAAACAACGTAAGTGAGACTAAATCTCATGCCAACAATACTTCAAACTGCCATTTCACGGAAATTGCGTCCGCGGGATTCAGCACCCATGTGTAATTATTTTCTTTTGGCCATTTTACGAAAATTTCATCCGCGGGATTCAGCATCCATGTATAGATATTTTTGGATTGCCATTTTACGAAAATTTCATCCGCGGGATTCGGCACCCATGTATAATTATTTTCGAATTGCCATTTTACGGAAATTTCATCCGCGGGATTCAACACACATGTATTCAAATACTCATTATATACAATGACTAACCAATACACAAATTCGTTATATTATTCCAACTGTCATACTCAATGACATACTCAAATTGATTAGTTTTAATTCACCTAATCATCATGCAGTGTCTACAACAATCAAGACTATTCTCCACTGATAGCCTAAAGCAGTTATTTCTAAACAGATAATAAATGCACCAACAGATAAATTATCAACATTTCCAAAGGTGAGTGATTAATGAATCCAACTCCACCATTCTACTTCATAATGAGCCAATTTCATTATTTCCAACTCAATTTCATATTTCCATAATAAATGTCATTAATTACACTAATGACCCAAATATACCCAAACATGGCATTTTCCTCTATTTTCTCAACATTGACCTAAAGGTCTACATATTATCAACAACATCAATAACCTCCTTCTTAGACCCAAAACACATATGTTTGAATTAAAAGAACAAAACCCCTCTTTCCAATATAACACATCTCAAACCCTAACTTCCCAAATCAAACCATTTATACAAAAAGCTCAACATTTAGGTTAAAACGCATAAAAATGAGTAGTTATCCCTATTTCAAGAGATGAAACTCAAAGGAGATGATGAAGAAATCACGAAATGCTCCAAAATCCAAGATTTTCGGATTGATAGGAAGCCCAAGCCAAACTCTACACTCTTTGTAAAGACACTAAGGGAGTAGATCACTCAAACTAGATCAATACCTAGAGAGAAGGTATATTCTAGAGAGAAGAGCTCTCAAAAGAGGGTTTAGAAAAGTAAGAGAGAGAAAGGAAATGTGAAAAGTGATTCAAAATCACCCAGCTGCCATCTGATATACGACTATCCCGCTCGAGCGGAGAATAGGCCGCTCGAGCGTCAAACACAAAAAGCTGGATCCACTCGAGCGCAAAAAGACCCGCTCAAGCGCCAAGACACAAAATAAAAAAGCACCCACTCGAGCGCAAAGGGAAACCCGCTCGAGCGTAGATTACCCTCATCCAGTATTTTTACAGACATTGAACACTCGCTCGAGCACCAAGAGGCCCGCTTGAGCGTGACCCGTTTGAGCATAAGGAAATCCGCTTGAGCGTGAAAAATGCACCTGCAAAAGTTTTGCAGAGGCACAAAATGCTGAAAGTGTGTAAACTTTGCTCGAGCGCAAAGGGACCCGCTCGAGCGGACCACCAAAAATCTGGGCAACAAGGAATAGGACTAAAGCTCAACCAACCTATTCGAAACACGCCCAGTACATCCTAAAACTCAAATATATGGAATTAAAGGATGACAACAAGACATATACAACAACCAACTCCACGGAACTTAAGTCCAGATACAACAATCAAAGAAGGAAGAACCAGGATCGCTATAGGCTGCATGGCCAGCCTAGAAAATGAGGCGCGAGCAGACTCAGAAAGTGAAGCAATCTTTTGCCACTCTCTCTATAGTGCTCCATATTCTCTCTTCTCCAAGAAAGCTAACTTGATTGTTGATGGGGTTTTCTGGCAACACACCCGCCAGGTAGCTCACCCTTGTTTGTTCATAGTGAGACGAAGTTCTAACGGAGCGACTCAAGCTTGGTAACAAGGAGTACGGAAGGCGATGAATATTTTTCACTCGTACAATAATTATGGTATGTGTAATGTAAGTTAAGACGATTTATAGCTAAGATAAGACAAGTCATGCCTAGATTTATTCGAAGACAATTCGTACTTGTTGAAGATGAGTCATGCCTAGCATACAAAATACATAAACTTTTTGGCGACATCGGTGGAGGCTTGCAGCCACAACATGTCATAGTCATAATAATAACTTAATTTCCATAATCAAAAGCCAAATCACATTACAACCGTGGTGAATTCAAAAGTCCCAAGATCTCCCTTAATTTAGGGTTCGTTTGGGAAGTAGGTTGGCTTTTTGGATTTTTTGGCTATTTTAGTCTGGGGCTAAAAAGTCTGGTTTGGAAAGGGCTTTTGGCTTTTTTGGCTTTTTGACTTTTTTGTGAGAGAAAAAATGTAATGATTATGGGTTGGATGGGATGCTTTGTCTTATTGAACAAAAAAACCTATTTTGTTTTTTATGGCTATTTTAGCCAAAAAAGCTTCTAAACCAACTTTTCAAACGGAGGCTTAGGGATTGTTTGGGGTGTCCTAAATAAGTGCACTTTTTATCTTTTTGGACTAAAAAATTGAGGTTGAAAATATGGATGTTTGGGTTAACTTTTTGACTTTTTATGGAAAAATGTGTAATAAAAAATTATAAAAATTGATTTGTAGGAAAAAATTCGAATTAGGAGTTGTGCAGCCGTAATTGTTGACTTTTGGTGAATAGTGTTAACTTTTTAATTTTTTGAGTAACTTTTTGACTTTTTAATTTTTTTATAAGTTCTCAAACTTGGCCTTAGTGTCATCATCATTACTTTCTTATTTCTGTTTTAGAATTAATTTGTAGTTTATTTTATAATTTAGAGAAGTTCCAACAAACAAACAATATCTCAAACTAAAATAGAAATCAAATACGATTTTTGCGCAATTAGTCACTCCTTGTGTATTCGATACCCGTACTCTTATGATACTAGTAATTTTATTTTGGAAAATAATTGGTTTTACAATACATCATCTATGTTTGAACGGATGGCGGATGTGAGGCAAGCTAACCTAACCTAATTCACCAACTCCCTTAAAATGATGTGATATTTTTATACTTAGTATGTTAAAAAAATAATATTTTATTTAGTAATTATATTAGGCATTTATGAAATATGAAAATTCGACTATTATTTTAAATATAAAATATAAAAAATAAAAAATTTTGGACTCAAATAAGTCCAAGCTAGTACAAATTAAAAAACATAAAATAATAAATTATAATTTGTCAAATCGATTTGTATCTACTTGCCAAGTACACATCTGCTAAGACCACTTCCAGCTGATGGCCCTGTTTGGTAGAGCTGTGGGAAAGTACTTATAGCTTATGCCTAAACAGCTTATAGCTTATAACTTTCAGCTTAAGCTGATTTCCAGCTTATTCTTAAAGCATCTCCTGCCCCACTTAAAGAATAAGCTGTTTTCTGACTTCCACAAAGCTATGAGCTATAAGCTATAAGCTAAACCAAACACATCAAAATAGTTTAAATTAAGCTGAAAGCTGAAATAAGCTGAAATTAAGCTGTACCAAACAGAGCCGATATGCCAAATTCAATGTGACAATCCAACAACTTTATTTTAACATACTAAATGAACTCTAATCGGTATGTCAAAAGCTGATATGACTTTTGACATTACTCATTTATGTTAATTTTGCTATGAAGACCACTTTATTTATTTATTCTTCAAATAAAAGGAAAATAATGTTAGAGTTCAAATTTTAAAAATAATATAATTGATATATCATGTGAAGAGCTTTCGTATCAAATTGACACGTGGAAATTTGTGATCAACCCTTCAAGAAAAAGTTGGCATACTAATTTTTGTTGATTTAAATAGAAATCTTTTGTTTGGCTATTTTATTCACAAAAAAGATAAAACAGACTTTTTAACTCAATAAGATAAAATATCACATTCAAACAATAATCGTTTTATTTTTTCTTTTATAAAAGTTAAAAAAAAGGCTAACCCAAATCCCAAACTAACCCTAAATGAACAGAGGCGAATTAATTTTCTTTAATCCAAATAAATTCAAACTGATGGTGGATGGGCAGCACCTAACCCACCCATTTTTGATCTAGATAGAGAGTCGAGAGAGAGAGAGGGAGGGAGGTAAGGAGTGTTGAGACAAACAGCCATGGACCCACAGCAACAAGTTGAAGCGACGATTCCACAGCCTACCCCACCACAAGTTGGTGGAGGAGGAGGAGATTTCACTGCCATTTTCACGGTGTTATTGTTCTTCATCGCCATCTTCTCTATGGTATCTTCTCTCACCATTCTGATATATATATCTATCTATCTATACTATTATAAAGTGAACAGGAGCTTTGGTGTCCTGAAGCTTTACTCTCTTCATGTCATGTGGCAGTATTTTTTATTTTTAAAAAAAAACTTAAACAAAGAGATGGGCAAGGCTTGAACCCATGACCATGGGTTTAAGTACGAGAACTCATACCACTTAAGCTAAGTACACATTATAATATTAATTTCATTATTATTATTTTTTATTCCTACTTATTTAAATTGCACACACATCGTGTGTGCCACCCACTAGTATATATATATGTGTGTGTGCGCGCGCGCACAGCAATACAGATCTACATAGTATCTCTAATTTGGTCGTTTAACAACGTCTCCTCGTTCGACCTCTCATTCTAGGGTTTGATGTGCACTTGTAACTTTCTTTATTTTTGTTTATATGATTTGATGTTGCTATATAGCAATGAATAACATACTGTTCGTTGGAATTTTCTGAATTACTTTGATTTTGTAGAAAACTTTGTTCTGCATTATATACAAGCTATAATTTGGTGAGCACACTATTTTATCGGAGAATGACTATGGTACGATATGCACCTAATAACGATAGAAGAAAATGGCATAATTCCATCATTTCTAAGTCATAACTAAAAAAAAAAAAAAAAAAAAATTTATAACCAAATACACAAAAGTCATAACCAAAGATATCAAACTAATGTCGTGAGTAAAGAAGAAAATTGGTCATAACTAAAGAAGAAAATGGCGTAACTAAAGATGCATATGGTATGGGGTCTGCATAATAGAATTCTCCATTTTATCGACATTTCTCATTGTCCCTATTATTCCGTATAAATTACTCTTTAGGATTTCCGTTTTGCTAGTTATAGCATTCTAGGGGTAATAATATGTGCTTCCTTTAAAAAAAGAAAAAAAAGAAAAGAAAAAAGAACTTGTTTAACTTTATTTATTTATGGGTTAATCATATTGTTTTTTCACTCCTTTGATAACATTGTTTGTAAGTTTTTATGTTTGAACTTAATCTACCGTGCTTTGGATTTTCCTAAATGTTTTTGGTTGTAAATGAAATCTAGAAAATTACAGTTTAATGAGCTAATCTTTTCCAACATATTACTTTTGGCTATCACCTTGTTTTTTGTTTTTTGGAGATTTGTTACATGGAGCATTGTGTCAATTGAAATTTAGATTTATGATACAGAGCATCTATTTTCAAGAATTGCTTTGTAGTATTGAACGCAATGGACTTAATCTAGAATTCACCAATTGTCTTATGATGCAGTGGTGACATTTTGGCTCAATGTTTGTGAAATATACTGAACAGAATCATTCCTACAGCATCAGAAAATTATTTTAGTTTTGGCAATGAACTTGTTATTATCCATGTATTTGAGAGTTGCCTCTTTTAATATATATATACATATTTTTTTTCATGTCTTCATCATCATTGTCATGGTTTTCGTCATTTTTATCATTATTTTAGAGCATATTCTGATCAATAGGCTTTACATCATTTTTGCCGTTATAGGCATTGATTCGGTAGTAAGCATTTGATTACTTCTTGGAGCTATTGGCCTAAGCATTCAGTACAAATGCAAAAGTTTTGGAATTAAGATTATGCCTATTTTTTCTGTTAAGGCAATATGCGCTGGTTAGATCTTCATTGAAATTGCTGTCACTTGTTTATAATCTGTGAAATCATATATGGCAACTTTTTTTTTTTTTTTTTAAAGTGATGCCCATAACTATTACTTTAATATTATTGGTTCAAAATAACAAAATACACTGAGTCAATGTACTACTTTTGGTTAGGGGCGGAATTTGGAGAAAGAAAGAAAGAAAGAAAAGAAAAGATTTTCACCAGCTCGGGCAGGTCACCAACTTGGGCAGGCTCAAGGTTATTAATTTGAGGCCTAAAGTGACAATTTGAAATGAGACTTTTAATGGTTTTTAATATTGCTGTAATTTTTTCAAATTTTCTTAACATGACATGTGCTTCTCATTCAATAATAATTTGTAGGATTTTATCAATTTTTTATTGTGAAATGGTAATAAGCAAAGCTTTCTAAAATTTTATGTAAGATAGACATAAAATTATAAAAATAACGTAAAAAAAATATCTCAGCAATGCGAGTTTAGTCATTTGATGATGATAAGATTTTGACAATAAGTTTTTAGACTTGATGCTTGTGTTGAGAGTACTCAGAAGAAAACTAGTAAAAGTGAAAATGATTGATCATGCTTTTTTTTTTTGTTGAGAAATTCTAGTTGTACACCATACAAACTCTCAGTGCACACCACAAATGTGTTTGGATATAAACTTATGAACAAATATCAAATGTTCTATTTAAAGTTATGAACAAGAATAACTTATTCAAACATACATTCCGTTTAATTATTTATATGCGAATAACTGCTTTATGGTCATAAATTTATATTCGAACATTAGACTTTTGTTTGGAAATTTATATCTGAATACCCTTCATGGTGTGTATTGAGAGTTTGCATGGTGTGCAAATAGAATTACCCAAGTGATTTGGAAATTGTGTTTTTTTAAGCACGTTTTTTATTTTTATTTTTAAAGTTAGTGTAATTGATTTTGGGCCTTCCTTTTTAAATCAGAGTTTTCGGATCTTTGATAAAGTAAAAGACAAATGAAGGTAGAATTAATAAAATAGCCTATGGAATATGGGTACGGGTATGATATAGTAAAATCTAAGAAAGTAAGATACGAGTACGGCTGGGTACGTTTATAAAAAAAAATATTTATTTTTAATTTGGAGTATTGCAAAAGTTAGTTAAACGGTTTATATGGTTAAGATCCAATTTACAATTCACATAATGCCAAAAGTAAGGTATGAATCACAATTAAATATCATTATATTAAATAACCCCAAGGGGTTTGACTTAGTGGATGAAGAAAACAACCAAAGAGCTTACCCGAGAGGTTGCAGGTTTGAAACCCACGCAAGTCTAACTTTCCAAACCTTGGGGCCATTAGAGGTTTGCCTGGTCGTTAACTTCAAGGCCTCGGGATTTAGTCGAGGTGCGTGTAAGCTGGTCTGGACACTCGGTTATCAAATATATATATATATGTATGATTATATCAGATAACTTACAAAACAAAGCTTAATTTTAAGATCATGCCAAGCATAAAAATGTCTAATGAAACTAATTTCACCTATGTATAGAAGAATGTACTATTTTGGATGAAGTACGGCTTGGATATATGATAGGTACTTATACGGTACAACAAAAATTAAGAAGAAAAAATTTGGGTATGTGTTTTGTGTACCCGGTGTGTATGCAGAAGTATTATGCAATGCTTCATAGGAAATGGCTATTGTAATGGTGAATGATGCTTTTATTTACAATGCATTTTTCATCCTCTTTTTAGGTTGTGTTTGGATAAGAGATTTGAAAAAGGATTTGTGGAGGGAAAGGAAATAGAAAGGGAAAAGTGAATAAATTAGAATTTTTTTTCCCACTCTTTCCTTTTTTTATTCTCTCCACAAATTCACACTCAAATCGTTAATCCAAACATAGTCTTAGTAAACCAAACATGAGAACAGACATTTTGATGTAATGATCATTCCATTCTAATTTCATTCTAGTGAAAAACATTATATGAAAATCCTACAACCTATTTGGTAACGTTTATATTTATAGTTTTTTTGTTTATATTTACAGAATTTTTTAAAACTTCAAACAAAAACTCATTTGGTTTTTGTTTTCGTTTTCAAAAAGTTGTAAGCACTCAACGCAAAAAAGTTGGTTTCACTTTTTTGTTTATTTGTTTATTTATTTATTTTCATTTCTTCTTCTTTCTCCCACTCTTGTCGATTGCTCATTTCTACTGGCTGCCATTGCCATTGACCTCCTCTACCAACCACCTGCCATTGCCACCAACCACTCCCACCAGTGGTAACCACCTTCAGCCACTACCTTTTGTTTGAAAACCACCTTCAACTACCACTAAAAGCTGACCGGTCACCATCTCCAACCACCGGCAGTCACTTTTAGCCACCACTTCCTGTGGCCATCAATCACCTCTAGCCACTGCCAACCACCTCACTTTGGTAGCAACCACCTTCGACCATTACCTTCCATGGCCAACAACCGCCTCTAGACTTCAGTCACCATTTCCAACCATCGACAATCATCTCTCTCAACCACCCCTTTTCACTTGTTTTCTAAAATACTTGTGTACCAAACATGTTTTTTTGTTTTCATTTTTACCCAAAATAAATATAAATATGTGTAATGTTTTTTGTAAACTAAAAACAGTAAACTATAAACATTGCCAAATGGCACCTTACTCTTTCTTATATATATAATACACAACGGCACCTTACTCTTTCTTATATATATATATATATTTGTTTATATATAATGAATGTGATCGACTTATTATTATCTATTAGATCTACTCTTTCTGAACTGTCTATATGGCTTGTAGCTTCTATAATAAATAACTATCTACTCTGTGGAACTTATTACTACAATTGTTTCTTTGGATCCACCTCAATGATATCCATGCAGCTTTCATGGAGAGAATTTATGAACTTAGAAATTTATAATGAAAAATGAATATTTTACTAGACTCTTCAGGCTAGACTTTTCAGGCACACCTGAATCCACCAAAACTGGAGTAGTTATCCATATGATTCATTGGTTAACAACTTCGATATAAAATAATTCCATTGTAAATGATCATCTCATTACAGGCTTGTGATGATTATCACTTGGTTTTCAACACATTATTCTTTGGTTTTTGATAATTATAGGCTCTCCATTGACGTATTATCTGAATACCCTTTGTTTAGCTCCACAAGAGAAATTGCTTTTTTGTTGAGTTTGTCCATTGTATTTGATCTTTTGGCTTTTCTCCTCATATTTGCGGATTTGTAAAATAAAGTGAAAGAACTGAGCATATGAGTCTTACTATTTTTATTTGTCTGTTTTCATATAAAGCAAAAGAACCTGAGCACTATGAGGATGGGTAGATTGCATTTTGTATTGTGACTTGAATATGCATCCATGAGAAAATATTAGGTTTATAAAAAATTGTGACATGGTTTTTTGTTAATATGTTAAAATTTGTATGATGTGCTGATTGTATGATATCTTGTTTGACATGTTTGATACTCTTATACTAGAAATGTCTCACTAACCATTAAACTTGAGAGTGATCATCAGTTGCCTTGGTAATTTTTACAGGTACTGGTTCCATCATCGACAACATTAAAGAATAGTGTATCAATTATACACCAAGTTCCAGAAGGTCATGTTGGTGTTTACTGGAGAGGAGGTGCCCTTCTGAATATAATTACAGATCCAGGTTTAGTTCTTATAATATTAGCATTTGAGATTTGCATTTTATAGTTTATTGCATATGATAACACCCCCTGCTTGCTTGCACTGATTTGTTTCTTTGATATATATATATATATATATTTAATTTTTAAATTTTAGGTTTTCATCTAAAAATGCCTTTGCTAACTCACTTTGAGCCCATTCAAGTAACTCTTCAAACAGATCTGGTAAGATTTATTCTTTTCCCATGCTTTGATGATAAATGATGCCCTATTGCCTTTTTAGTTCTCGTGCATCACAAATCTTATGGATAGTTGCTGAAACCTGTGTTGTTATTTAATGCAGGTGAGGAATATCCCATGTGGTACAAAAGGGGGTGTTATGATCAACTTCGAGAAAATAGAGGCAAGGCTTTGAGATTTTTCTCTCTTTCTAACAGTATAGTATGTTGCCATTGTTGTGTGAGGTTTCATTTGTCATATGTAAATGTTCCCCTTAAATGCGTCTCCAGGTTGTTAACCGCCTTCATAAGGGTTTTGTCTATGAAACACTGCGTGATTACGGTGTACAGTATGATAACACATGGATATACGACAAGATTCATCATGAGATCAATCAGTTCTGCAGTGTTCATTCCCTACAGCAAGTTTATATTGATATGTTTGATCAGGCAAGAAACTAATCTAACCCAATGTCACATTCAGAGCCACAAGGCAGATGACGTCAGGTCAATTTATTCAATGTCCCACAATGGTCTTTTTCCATATTTAAACCTTGTGTGTTGATGGATGGTTGTGATCCTGCTGGCAGTTTAGTGGTCTCCATAGCAAACATGCATTTAATATTTCTAATTTACATGTAGTTTTGAGGTTTGAAAATAATTTCTTGGTATTTTATCTTCCTTTATATCCTATTTCTGGTTAATGATACAGATTTATAAGCATGAAATTGTGAACTGTGGGATTCATCTCTAAATGAACTATTATTTTACATAATTATTTTGGTACCCTCAGCTTGTGCATTGACATTTTGTTTTGACATAATAATTATTTGATAATATTTGATATTGTCAGATTGATGAAAAAATGAAAGATGCTCTTCAGTCTGATTGCACACGGTATGCTCCAGGTATTGAAATTATCAGCGTCCGTGTCACAAAACCAACCATCCCTGAAAGTATAAGACGGAATTTTGAACAGATGGAAGAGGAACGCACCAAGGTACTACAATTGTTTCTTTATTTCCTCTAATAATATTAAAGGACATTTTTTTTTGTATTCATTCCTTTTTGGCTTAACTGAAAAATGCTGGGTTGGAAGAAACAATAAAATATTACCACTTTAAAATGTGACTGGTTGGGTCTTGTTTGAGGTCAGTAAAAATTGAAAACAATTGTTCTCAAGAACCTTAACATTTTAAATGAATTGACATATTAATCTATAAATTTAGTAGCGTTTTGTGGTATCAATTGATTTTTAGTTCTTTATCAATACATAACCTTATTACTCCCTGTGGAACTATTTTGTACCTTCTGGATATGAGTGCTGCTAAATGTCCCTACCATTTTACTTTGAATCCCTCACTTCTTTGAACTCCTACCCACCTAATTGAATCCCTCTCATCTTCTCTTTGAACCCCCACCTTAATACCAACTATACCCCTATTCTTTGACCCCCAACTTTTCTTCTCTCAACCCTTCCTACTGCCGGCAACCCTTCACTGCCGGCGAACTTCCTTCCGATGACCTCCAACCTCACCGGCGACCTCACTACCCCTGCCCACCACAGCTCTGCTCTCCATGTTTTGGCGAGTATCCCCAGATCATTCCCACCACCGCCCTCCCATCCTCAACCTCCCTCTGTCCATCCTCCACCGTACCGCCACCCCTCAACCCATCCCCAACCACCACCTCCGCCCAGCTCCATCCCTATATCATCTCTCTCTCTCTCTCTCCCCTTCTCTCTCTCTCTCTCGTGTTACGATCGAGATCGTGACTGTTGGGTCGCCGTTCGAGATCGTGTCACGATAGAAGAAAGGAGAGAGGGTAGCGGCAGTGTGTTGGCTAGGGTTTGAGATTGCAGAGGGTAGTGGCAGCTAGGGTTTTGCGAAGAAAGCTGTGGGTGGCTATGGAAGGAGGGTGGCGGAGTTGTAAATCACAAATGGGGGGTGGCAGAGTTGCAAATCATAGGTGGAGGGCAATGTTGGGGTTGATGGGGAGGGTGCACGGTGACGGCCGGAGGTAGGAATGGCAACGGGCCGGGGCGGGGTTGGGGATTACACTCCCTGTCTCCGATCCCTGAAGGTAAAAGAAATCCCCGCCCCCGCCCCCCCGATTCTCGGCGGAAAACCCATCACCCTCCACCCCTAACGGGGATCGGGTTTCCCCGACCCCGAAAAATTCCCAATCCTTTTTTTTTTTTTTTTTGAATTTTGTTCAACACAAGAACAACAAAAAAAATTTATTCTGTTTTTGTATGTTTCATCATCATCATCATTAACAACAATCATCATTAACAACAATCATCAACTTAAAAAAAAAAAAAAAGGATCTGAAATTGTCATGCACACATATATATGTGTAAATTAGTGGTAATCAAACAACATAGAAAGGATGTAGAAATAGGTGTGAATCTCATGGGAAGGCAACACAAACATCAACACTTGACACACACATATTAGTGGTGTTTGGTTTGCTAAAATAGTAATACGGCCCAGCTGTATAGAATTTGAAGGAGGAAAAAAAAATAAAAAAATAAAAAAGTTTGGAATCCTTGCAAACCCAGGAGAAAATAAATAAAAGAAAAAAATCTGATAGATAAAGTAGTCTTAATCTTTGCCTTTTGCATTTACCTCTCTTCTTTACCTTGGTTGAAAGTTTACTGCATAAAATCAACAAGAAAAGAAGAGTTATTAATGTGTTTTGCAGAGCCCATAAATGAATCAACATACTAGCAGCAATTGTTGCTTCATGAGCCACGCCATCAATTTAATCAGTAGTCACACTTGGCCGAATAACATGAGCAGCTGCATCCAGAACCTCCCTGGCAATTCGGCAAGTTTCTCTCATTCACTCAATTTGCTTCGGAGTCTTGATGTCAACAACATGCTGAAAATCACTGTTGGGCTCAATTTTGGGGATCCCATCAACAAGAACTGAAGATTTGTTCATTATACACAAACACGCATATATATATATATATATATATGTATGTATGTATGTATCAAATCTAAGAAAACCCTAAAAAAAAAAAAAAAAAAAAAAAAAAGAAGAAGAAGATCTGGGAAAGCCTTAACAAAAAAAGTTGTTATGCAAACCTTAACAAAAAAAAGTTGAGTTCTCGGAGATCAGATCAAAGAGAGAGAGAGAGTTTGATTACACCAAGTCGGATCAGAAACTGGAACCTTTTTCGGCCAAATGTGGATACAAAACATAATATGGATACAAATACCTCTTGAACTCAAGATTTAGAGATGAGATCGGAGGCTTCGGTGTGAAAAGTGGAGGGAGTTTGAGAAAAGTTGTTGTCAGAGAGATATTGGTCCACGATGAATGTGATTGGGAGTGGAGTGACTTTCCCATTGCCATAGCTTTCTGCTTTTCTGGACTTGTGTTTGGTCTGCTTCCCCATCTCTAATCTTCAAAGTTAGAGAATCAAAACAGAGAGAGAGAGAGAGACGGCTTCTAGACTTGTGTGTGAGGTTGTGTTAGGGTTTGGTTTATATATATAGAGGGCTATAATAGTAATTTCAGTTTGGGGAAACGGGGACGAGGACGGGGATGGGGACAGGGCTGGGGAACATATCACTGTCCTCGGCCCGAAACTTGTCGGGGATTCATTTTCGAATATCATCCTCGGTCCCTCGGAGGTATTTTTCGGAGAAAAACCGTTCTAATTGGGGTCGAAGGGTCGGGTCCCCAGTTCAAATTGCCATCCCTAGCCGGAGGTGATGGCAATGGCTGGTAGGATTAGGGCTAGGGTTTAGGAAATTAGGATTAGAAGGTTAGAGATAAGAGTAAAATTGGAACTTCATGTTTGGACAAAATTGGAATTGAAAAAAAAATAAAAGAGATGGGGGTCCTAAGAAAAATGGTAAGGGTAAATAGCACTACTCTTTGGATATACATTTTTAGAACTTCCTTTGACTTCACTATCCTAAAATATTATTGGACTCTTTGACTTTATGGATTATAGAGTCTGTTGTTCTTTGTTTGTTTATCTTTATAGAGGTGGGATTTTTTCCTTTTTTCATCATTATCCCCAAATAACAATGTGGACGTGCCTTATAAGTTTGTTTGCATTAACTTTTATTGGTAATGAATGTCTTTGTCTAGGTTTTGATCTCAATGGAGAGACAGAGAGTAGCTGAGAAAGAGGCTGAGACACAGAAAAAAATTGCTTTAAGTGAAGCGGAGAAGAATGCACAAGTAAGCAAGATCCAGATGGAACAGAAATTGATGGAAAAGGATAGTGCTAGGAGGGAAGAGGAAATTGCAAATGAAATGTACAATGCTCGTGCGAAGAGCTTGGCTGATGCCAGTTATTATAGGTAATTTAATCTTTCCTTTATACACATATTTTATATTTTTCTTATATATTTCTTGTTTTCCAGAGTGGAATTTTTGGAATTTATCTATGAGGGTAACTAAAGAAGTTTCCTTGTATACATTTTCAGAGCAATGAAAGAAGCAGAAGCAAACAAGTTGAAGCTTACCCCTCAATATTTGGAGCTCAAATTCATTGAAGCAATTACTAACAACTCAAAAATATTCTTTGGAAACAAGGTTAGACACTTCAGTCCTGTTCTGGGTATCTGTGTGGGTGCGCTATTTGGTCTGAAAGTCCTAGATTTGTTATGCAGGTACCCAATATGGTTTTTGATCAGAGGCTGCTTGGAAATTTTTTGCTAGATATAACCAAAGAGGGAAACTTGGAGTCTTAAGTTCTAGGATCATTTCATGGATGTGAAATGATGACATTAGGGAGAAGGAGGAAGGTGATTTTTGTCTTGTTTCATAATTTTTTGGTGGTTACCCGTTTCTGTTGGCTACTGTTGTGGAGAAAATAGGGCTCTGTTTGGAAGAGCTTTGGAATTGTGATTCCAGCTCTTAGTTTGCATATAGTGTTTGGTTGTGGCTTTTAAAAATTAATTCCACTTACTTTTGAAATCTCGGTCGAAGGCGGGAAAATTTGAGTTAACCGGTCGTCCCACCGGTTGACCGGAACAGTGCAAAATTTTTTTTTTTTGCAATTGACACATTAATTTTTATATATTCAACAAAAAAACATTTTCTGAATTTTAAATTTTTTTTATGAGCTTTAATAGAATTTTGAGTTGTGTGTTTGGTTATGAGTTGTAAGTTTTTGTATCAAATATCATATGTTACATCAAAAATTTCTCACTCAATTCAAAATTCATTCACCAAACAATTTTTTCACACTCAAATCATAATTTTAAAACTCACAAACTCAAAATACAATTCTATTTTAAAATTATATTTAAAAAATTCTACCAAATGTAACCTAGTATTCTACAATTAGATATATAGGGAAAAGGAAGAAAAAATATCACGGGCAGTGCATGTTTGTGGCGAATTTTTTGGTTGCAACTGGCATTTTGAAAATGGCTACCTTCTTCTGCCGTTATTTTTTTGGGGATGAGTTGGGAATTAGTTCTGTTATCTTATCTTCTCCTTCACCATGGCTCACACACCACTGTGGCAAACACACCTGCTTGGGGCTACTGGCATGAGTTGGGAATTAGTTCTGTTATCTTATCCGACTGTTATCAACTTTTCTGCGTTTTTATGAAGCCGGAGTTGTGCTAGGGCTAGTGGCTACTAAAAGGGTGGTGTTATGTTCTGAAGAAGTCCTTATGGGAGTGTGCTGTACCGGATTAGGTGCTTGAGAACCTTGCTTGTTTTTCAGCAACACTTTTTGTTTTGGGGGTTCATTTCTTTATTTTGAATTTTGAATTGAATCAATTGTGTTTCTGCACCAGCCATTTTTTAAACCGTAATGGCTCCGGTCATTAAAAATCATCACTTGACTTTAGAAAATCATAGATCCTTGTGAAACAACCATATTTGAGAAACAATATCATTTAAAAGTTATTAACTAATTCTCAAAATATTTCTCATTCAGTTTTCATTTTTAATGTTCTTTTTCTTTCATTCTTTCTTTCTACTCATTACATTTATTTAGAATCTCATAATTTCAAGTTCAAGTTCCCTTTTTGATTCACTAACAATTCTCCTATACTCAATTCACACCGTTATTTACACTCTTAGATTTCATTTCAAGGTAACACAAGATTAATAAATCCCTTTCAATTCAGTCTCTTATTTATTTACAGAGCAATACTCATAATTTATCTTTGTTGTCACAACTAATTCATTAAGTTCACCATTACCAATCCATAATCCAATAACCACTTCAATTTTCATTCTTTCAATTAATTTCATACCAAATACCGGATCCAATCACAAGTCATCTCCATGAGTCACACGCTTTATCGATCACAAGTTAGAAAGAACGCAGAACCTCAACATACCACATGCTTTACCAGGCGTTACTCCGGAAGGAAGGCGGAACCTATCTCAAGCGCCACGCTTTATCGGCTCAAAATACGGCGGGAAACGGACTCCAAGATAACATCACAATCCATCATTACAATTAGTGGGCAATGCCAACACGTCCTCCATTATTTCCGTAACACATTAGTTTAATACATATCCACCATATATTAAAATTTTATTTACATAACAAGTACAAATATGTTCTATGACCTTCTTCATTATCCATTAAATCATTCATTGTTTTGTCACACAAAAATATAACAACACATCCATAGAGGCAAAGATTCATATTTAAAGTGTTCACAATTCTTGAGTTCAAACTATTTCTTTACTTTTCCATATTATTATCAAGTCTTCATATTCAATTTTTACAACACACTGGTTATCAATTACTACCCACGGTTATAAATTTAATCTCCAACATTTAATTTATTTGATACAACTTCTTCATATAACACCGTCATATTTCACAATCTCCCATTTATTATTATTCACACTTATCTTAACCCAACATAGATTTAATTTCATAAATTTCACGTTGATTAAAGTATCCTCATTTTTCAAAATAAAACTTCATAACTAGAGTCAAATATAAATTTGGCCTTTTAGTTTTGAGGTATAAAATCATTTTCTAACTACACAATAAGATTCTTAAATCTACACTTCATCATCTTATCACAAATTCCATATCATTAACAAATCTATTTCCCCAAATTTCATTTCATATTAGAGCATGATTTATAATATCCATAATAAAGGTTCATTCGCTAATTTTTAACATAATTTTCAAACACTTCCAAAATCCAATTAACTTGTATACCTATAATTCAACCTCTCAATTTCATGATTCCACTATCAATTTAGGCAAAATCATTAATTGTCATCATGAATCAACTTCGGATTATTAAGAAAAATTAAGATTTTCAAGAAAAATTCAAACTTCTCAAACCACTCATTTTTATTCCAATTTTCCCATTGATCATACACCTAAGGTTCATAATCCATAATCTTAACCCAACAATTGAACCCCAACACTTCAAATCCTAAACCCTCGAATTCCATGATATAACACTATATGCTCAAAAATGTAGATTTTGCATTTATATAATCAAAATACCACAAATCTGTTTATTAATGCAAATATTGAAGAAGAACAAGGACTCCTACCTCAAGAATCAAGCAAGGGGTAAAGCTTTGATGAGATTCCTTCACAAATCCAAATTTCAATCGGTAGAAAATGTTGAGCTTCATGCCTCTTCACTTTCTTGTAAGGGATCTTGCCCAAATCTTAGAAGAATGGAGAGTATTTGGGGTAAAAAACCTAGGGTTTTCGGACCTAGGGTAAGAGGAAGGAGGAAGGAAATAGAAAATGGAAAGAATGATCTAGAAAAGTGCCTTTAAACTTGCTGAATTCGCGCAGTCCGCTCGAGCGTCGCTTTTACCGCTCGAGCATATCTGCTTCCAGCACAGATTCTGAAACTTCAAACAGGCATAACTCTCTCATTCGGACTCCGTTCTAGGTCGTTCTTGTGTCCAAATCGAAGCCCCAGAAATAAGATTTCCAATGGTTCTAGCCTCACATCCAAATTCAAAGTGTGGAAAAAGAAAAGGGCAAAAGAGTAACGGCTGTTGGTAGGAAAAATTATCCGAATTAAATTCTTGGTTTACTCTTACTTTAACATTATGTTGCCACTTCAATCAATACCCCAAAATAAAATAAGGAGGTCCAAATACACTAATAAAATGTCAAGGGCAATCTCACTTTCCACGCTCGAGCGTCGCTTTCCACGCTCGAGCGCGCAGACTAACAAAGCCATCCGCTGGAGCGATCACTCCTACGCTCGAGCGAGAATTCACAACTCTCAGAATTTCGGACCGTCTGCAAAAATGCTGGGAACCTCTCAAGTCCGCTCGAGCGTCAACTCTCCCGTTCCAGCGGAGGGAAAAATTTCGGATCGTTACATGCTCCAACAAAAGAATTGTTACCAATTGCTGGTTGAGGGTTAAACTGATTGTTTTATCAGCAAGCATTACTGGTAAATATGCAAATAAAAAATTATTTCCAAGAATGAAATCTCCATGTATTGGGAAGCATAAAACTTTTGGAATAACAAATTTGTTATTATTAAACCAAATAGGTATATTTTTTGCTTCAATAATTATGTAGGTGTCTTCTTCACTAATTCCTTCAACTGAGATAGGATGTTTCATTAAAATTCATTTATCCTCAGGTATAGCATTTATTCTACTTGTGCTTATGTGGACACCTTATTTTGACTGATCCTAAGACTTTGAGCGCTTGCAAGCCTCCCAATGATGAAAAGGTACTTACTTCATCTTTAGAATGTTTAAGGTTATTTGGATTGCTATATAAACTTATTTTGGCCAAAAATCAACTTTTTACAAAAATGACCATTTTACCCCTGAACCCGTTTTCAGCCAAAAAACCAACTTCTCAACCCTAAAAAGCTCGGTTGTTTTTTGATCAATCATATTTTCCAAAAATTAGTAGCTAGTTTTTATCAAAAACATTGATCAGAACGCAATTCAGACTTACTTGTGCCGCAAGCAAGTTAAGGGCATAGGACCCTTGCACTTATGCATGTATGCATGGCATGTGCACCAAGACAAAACATGTGTGCACACATTATTTGTGGGTACACACAATCGTTGAGTGTGCACACAGAGATAATACGTGCACACATTGTAGTGCCACAAAGCCAAGTATGAAAACTCAATCTTGGTGCAATTTTGGAGGGAATGGTGGAGGGGGAATCTATAAATAGAGCTTTTCCTCCTCTCTTTGAAGGGGTTAAGAACTTGAGGCATTTTGAGAGCACTTGAGAGACAAACACTATTTTTTCTTCTTCTCTTAACCTTAGCCACGAAATCCTCTCACCTATAGCAACTCTAAGCTTCTGTGAATCATCCTAAGGCCTGAAAAACTCGAACTAAGTCATAACCAAAGCTTGAGGGAGGCTTGCAAGCAAGAGAACCTTTTTCTTTCTTGCTATTCTCTTCGCTTGCCTTCTGTTTATATAAACCAGCAGGTAAAACTCCTTTATTTCTTGTATTTCAATACCTTTTAGTCTTTTATTTTAATATTCAAAACATGTTAGGGTATTAGTTCATTCTCTCATGTAGTTTATTCATTTAATTGTTTTTTGCCTGCTTTTGCATGTTTTCTTTATTCTCATTAGAACAACATGTCTAGGTCCATTTAATCATGTAGAAATCATGTGTTAGGCCCGGTTTGGATCCTCATAGAGTTTAGTTTATATTTATGGTTTTTACTTGTTAGTTGTATTTTGTGCATAAGCATCATTAGTAGCCTCAAACCAGGCCTAGGTTCGTGTTCTTGTATGTATTAGTTGCATTTTAGGTCATATTTATTTTAAGTATTGCATGTAAGACGCATAAGTGAGCATCCGGGTAAGTTCTCTTGTCCTTATTGGCATGTGTGTGCTTCTTGCATTGTCCTTTCAATTATGCGAGTTATTTGCTCTTTATATGTAAAATTGGTTGTTTTGAATGTTTTTATAATTGTTATTTATCTTGATTCAAGTTTATGGCCATGTTTTATTCAAAAT